GGAAAGTGTATGGAGGTATGGAGTTTCCATGACAAGTTAAAAATAGAGCTAACCTACAATCCAGCAATTGCACTACTGGGTATTTATCCAAAGAATACAAACATAGTAATTTTAAGGGGCACATACACCCCTTATGTATGTATAAATACACATATTTATAGCAGCATTATCAACAATAGCCAAATTATGGAATAAGCCCAAATGTCCGTCAACTGATGACTAGATAAAGATGTGGTAAATATATCTGCTGGAATATTACTCAGCCATTAAAAAGAATGAAATCTTGCCATTTGCAACAATGTGGATGGAACCAGAGGGTATTATGCTAGGCAAAGTCAGACGTAAAGACAAATACCATATGATTTCACTCATATGTGGAATTTAAGAAACAAAACAGATGAACATAGGGGAAGGGAAGAAAAAAAAAGAGGGAAACAAAGCGTAAGAGACTCTTAACTATAAAGAACAAACAGAGGGTTGATAGAGGGAGGTGGGTAAAGGATGGACTAAATGGGTGATGGGGTTAAAGGAGGACACTTGTGATGAGCACTGGGTGTTACATATAAGTGATGAATCACTAAAGTCTACACCTAAAACCAGTTTTACCATATATGTCAACTGGAATTTAAATAAAAACTTGAAATAACAAAATAAGAACTTATTAATTTCTACTGTTTTTAAGAATCTCAGTACTTTTGGGGCACCTGGGTGGCTCAGTGGGCTAAGGCCTCTGCCTTCGGCTCGGGTCATGATCTCAGGGTCCTGGGATCGAGCCCCGCATTGGGCTCTCTGCTCAGCAGGGAGGCTGCTTCCCTTCCTCTCTCTCTGCCTGCCTCTCTGCCTACCTATGATCTCTGTCTGTCAAGTAAATAAATTAAAAATCTTAAAAAAAAAAAAAGAATCTCAGTACTTTTTAGAAATGACAGTGTCCTTGTAAAGACAAGTTTTGTTTCCTTGTTATAATGTATACAATTCTTCAGTCCTCTGAAGGACTGAAGTAGCTGCCTCTAAAATATACAATGCCAGCCCTAAGGGGCATCACTTATCCACTCTAGCACAGTACCATGCCCAAGGTAAGGGATTCAAATACCTATTAAAAGAATATAGAAACAAGGGGTTTGTAGTCATCACTAAACACACTCGTATTAACATGGATTTTAATAAATGAAAATGACTCTTCCCTGTTTACTCTAAAAGCAAGAAAATCCATTTATTGAGCATTTAATAATATATGCCAGTACTTTACCCCTGTCTTGTTTAATTCTCACCAGGATCCTATGAAAGTTAGTAACCCTACTATTAAAAATGGGAAAATGAGGTTCACAAGTTAACCTGCCCAAAGTCAATTTACTTGTCAGAGCCGGAAACCAAACCTTGGTCTATCCGGCTGCAAAGCCTGAGCCGTTCCACTGCGTCTGGCTCACTCTTCCTGAGGTTATAAAGGAGAACTGTCAAATGGGAGGAAGTTTCTCCATCCCTAATGACACCCAGGAGGATGGGTCTGTTAAGAAACCCCATTTGTGGGGCACCTGGGTGGCTCGGTGGGTTAAAGCCTCTGCCTTCAGCTCGGGTCATGATCCTGGGGTCCTGGGATCAAGTCCCACATGGGGCTCTCTGCTCAACGGGGGGCCTGCTTCTCCTTCTCTCTCTGCCTGCCTCTCTGCCTACTTGTGATCTCTGTCAAATAAATAAATAAAATCTTAAAAAAAAAAAAACAACCCATTTGTCATTGACCTAAGACCATGTGATCCATTCCATACATAATTGTCAGGGATACTCTGAATACTTTAAATATGAAGAATCTGATTAAAGTTTACAACTAATTAGGTAGCCTTTTTAATACCCGTAACATTTCTCAATTGCAGACAATCTAATCTACTTCAGACCCTAAATCCATATGAATTTGCAGGCTATATTAGAATGTTAAATCCTAATCATCTAAAAAGATCTCCTCATTTCACAAATGAGGAAACCAGAAAGGTAAAATAATTTGTTTAGCAAATTTTACTTAGTTATTAGGTTCTAGATTTGGCCCTAACCCATACTTAAATGTGAAGAGTATTGCATTTTGCAAATAAGACTAATTACACTTCATCCATACACTAGTTTGTCAATATCAATATTTAGCTCTGTCAAATGCACAACTGCAACTCAACAGAGATCTGACTTAATGTCTTAAAGTAGATATATTTATAATGATGTCTAATAAAAGACATTTATCTTTACTTTTCACAAAACTTTTGGTTCGGGCCAGTAGACTGGTTCATAATACTAGCTGAATGTTAGCTTAGTTTAGCAATGGCTGCCATTGAGGCAAAATATCTCCAAGGTTTGGGAGTTAAAAGTTTATTGCCCTGTCCAGAGTTAAAAAACAAACAAACAAACAAACAAAAAACCTCAAAGAAAATGAACTATGACTTTTTAAAAAAGATTTTATTGACAGAGAGATCACAAGTAAGCAGAGAGGCAGGCAGAGAGTTGGGGGAAAGCAGACTCCCTGCTGAGCAGAGAGCCCGATATGGGGCTCGATCCCAGGACCCTGAGACCATGACCTGAGCCAAAGGCAGAGGCTTAACCCACTGAGCCATCCAGGCGCCCCTGAACTATGATTTTCTAAACATAAACTCAATAGTATTAAAATACTTGTTAATTCTCTAATCTCAACTATTTTTTCATGTAACACCTAAAAATCCTCTCTATCAATTATAATTTTTAACATGGTACACATAGGGGTACAATGAAACAGTAACCTCAGATTTGTAGAACTTGGAGAATTCATTAAAAAGTAAGACCACTAAAGGGTACCTGGGTGGCTCAGTGGTTAAGCACCTGCCTTTGGCTCAGGTCATGATCCCAGGGTTCTGGGATCAAGCCCCATATGGGGGAGCCTGCTTCTCCCTCTCCCTCTGCCTGCAGCTCCCCCTGCTGTGCTCTGTCAAATAAATAGATAAAATCGAGAAAGAAAGGAAAAGGAAAGAAAAGAAAAATGGCAAGACCACTGTGGAAAGGGTTAGTAGTGGAATCTCTTATGAAGATACTTGACATGAATATGATCCTGAGTAATTTTAGCACAGACCTTAATTATATGGAGTGATAATAGATAGCAATGAACAGCTATACACTATAAACCCTACATGTCAAACAAAAGGAAATGGTGACAGGATACCCTTAAAAAAGAAGCACAAGAAAAAATATCTAACTAGTGAGGTTGTAGGATCCTCTACTCAGGATTCTTCTCCAGAATGGTTCTAAAATTGAGAAGCTTTTGGTTTTTTTTTTGGGGGGGGGGGGCTGGGCAGAGTATGAATAAAAATTATTCATAGTACTTGAATGACACTTGCAACTAATGGCTCTTCCTTCACTCTAGGATTTTGAAGCATATTTGGTTGAGGGAAGAAAAGAGGAGAAACAAAGTCTTCCTGTTAAGGAGAGTCCATTTATCTAAATTACCCTTATTCCCAAAGAACAACCAAACTTTTACCAAGTGAGAAGGCTGCTGGGGGTGATTTCAGAAATGAGGCTTCTATAAAGCCAGGGAAAAATACAACAATCTAGCAGATATGCAAAATAATTTCCAACACACATTGTTTGAATCAGCCAACCTTTATGAATGCTACATACCCAGTCCTTTTATTATTCCTTATTACTAGGTGTAAAAAGAAAACTCTGGGGGCACCTGGGTGGCTCAGTGGGTTAAAGCCTCTGCCTCCAGCTCAGGTCATGATCCCAGGTTCCTGGGATCGAGCCCCACGTCGGGCTCTCTGCTCATCCGGGAGCCTGCTTCCCCCTTTCTCTCTCTGCCTGCCTCTCTGCCTACTTGTGATATCTGTGTCGAATAAATAAATAAATAAAATATTAAAAAAAAAAAAAAGAAAACTCAGAATACCAGAAGTTTGAAATTTGAACAGAGGGGCAAGTGCCTTAGAAAAATGTAACTATTTCAGAATTTTATAACAGCAAAGGGGTCCTACTGATAATCTAGTTAAAGTTCTTCCCCAAATTTCTATCTATTAAGGTAACTGAGGTCCTCACTCACAGACTAAATGACTCACAAGGTCAAAACTCTTCCCTCCTGCCTCTTTGTATATATCACATATTTGGGCTGAGCTCCTGAAAACACTAGTTTATTTTAGCTAGAAACAGTCTGTGTATCTTATCTACTTTAATCTTTTAAAGCTATATAATACAAAAGCAATTATGTTAATCCTTAATTTAAAATGTCATACCAACAAACTTGTGATATATTGCAACCATTTTATTAATATGAAGCAATGAGATAAATCCTTTAACAGGAGTACTGATTGACTATCATGATTGTGTATCAATACCTTGATGCAGTATCATACTTGCTTCAGTCAATTTATGTGTGAACTACTTTCACTTCCACATGTATAAAACATAGATTTCACTGTTTGAAAGAATAGCACACAACCATGCACCTCCTCTTTCTGGTTTAAATACACTCATGTACACTGGGTTTTTCATGACTCAAGGACTTAATAATACATGAACAGCTTTTCAGTACACTATTTCTGCTCTTTTTCTTTTTTTTGTTTTTAAACTGAAGGGGTTTGGGAAAGCAATAGTGTGGTACAAAAGACCTTTTTAAGGTCTCTTCTGGAAAAAATGTTCGAGAATACAGTTATAGTCCTATAATGACTGTAATCAAGATCATCCTACAAGGACATGAAGGTTGATTCACTCTCCTGGAGAGTTTCTGGTCTTATTAAGAATATTATGACAGGGAAAAATAGTATAAGCAAATTCTGGCAGAAGACTCTCCTAGAGAGATATTTTGAACATATTTCAATCCTAGAATGACTATAATGAGATGACATGACAGTTGAAATCATTTTGCCAAAGAAGTCCGTGTCTAAAGACACAATGTAATTAGAATTTTTTATGTTTTGTGAAAATATTAGAGGCCATGGAAGCAGAAAAATGTAGCACTATAACAAAGAATAAGGAAACACTTGTAAAGAATAAACACTTAACACGTGAAAATTTTAAATGGTATCTAATAAATTTTCATGTCAAATCTTTTAACTAAACATATAAAAATTTTAAATGGCAACAAGTAAATCTTCATGTCAGATCATTTAACAAAATCCACAAATAGATTATAAAAATTGAACAATCATAATAAATGTCTTAGGTATAAAGTTTTAAGGGAAAATTTAAATTTCTACATTATTCTGTTTAATCAAATATTTGAGGAATTTTAAGTACTGCTGAGGAGCAGTTGATACATTTCTAAAATAATTCAGTTATGAAAATATCACAATTAAGGTTTGGCATAGTAGCATTCCAGCAATCCTCAATCATCCACAAACGTTAACCGTCCAGGCCCTTCATTCTTCATCCATCTCCTGTATCTCTTCCATCTGGGGTCATTTGCCAGTTTTTTCTTTAGTTCTTCCTCTTGTTCTTGTTTATAAACCTGTACATATAAATAACACTAAATGACTTTACTACCCAAAGGGAAACATTTGTCATTATCTTATGGCATATTTACATTTTTCAAATATAACTTTAGGTAAACATTTCCTATGAATGTACTGGCTTGTCTTCTGAAGACCATGCATCTAAAAATACTAAGCAGTTAAGCACCTTAACACTCGGTGTTAAATTTAAAAAAAAAAAAAAAGATAGCTTAGTAATTTTTGTCACTGATTTCTGTAACCTAAGAATATATTCTTTTCCTCATTGACATCATACATCAGCTGAGTTTAATCATTTTCTCTCTACAACTAATGTTCAATCTTAAAGAATCACAATTTATTTCTTTAATATGGTGCTCTGAAAAAAAAATTTTTTTTAAAGATTTTATTCATTTATTTGACAGAGATCACAAGTAGGCAGAGAGGCAGGCACAGAGAGAGGAAGGGAAGCAGGCTCCCCGCTGAGCAGAGAGCCCGATGTGGGACTCTATCTCAGGACCCCAGGTTCATGACCTGAGCCAAAGGCAGAGGCTTTAACCCACTGAGCCACCCAGGCGCCTTGTGCTCTGAAAATTTAATTGATGACTTTCAGTATTTGTTGATCCTAACCAAGGAATAAAATGACCTTATGTATACAACTGTCTCCAAATTCAAAGATAATTACTGGTTTTTCAAAATATTTTATTAAGGTTCCCAAAAAGGGTTAACAAGCCACACAGGTTAAGGACAAAGAAAATCTTTATTTCTGTAACTTTTGTGGAAGTCAGATGAAACTAAATGGACAAGTTTTCATAACCAGTTTCATCAAATTTTAGAAAGAAATGACTTCCAAATTTTGGGAAGTAATGACTAAGATCACCTCATAGAATAATATAATAATTCAGGATAGTACTCCATGAAAGATACAGTTTTGTGAACTGGGCTGCTTACCCTACTTAAGAGAAAACTTCTCAAGTACTTTAGGAGCAAAGTAGTATGTTACCTTCCATTTTTACATTAATTACAAGCAGGCTAACTATACCTACTTGCCAAAACATTCTGGCAATTCATAGTAAGTTACTTAAATATAATTCCAACTGGTACTCTACTTTCAGTAAAAACTATTTAGGATACCACATATAAAAAGGAATGTCTATGAAACTAAAAACACAAATATATTCAGATTTCTTAAGATTTTACTATACTGTATTCTTTTTATTTTTTAATATCTTTTTAAAATTAACATATGTATCATTTGTTTCAGGGGTACAGGTCTGTAATTCATCAGTCTTACACAATTCACAGCACTCACCGTAGCACATACCCTCCCTAAAGTTTGTTTTGTTTTTTAAATAAACTCTACCCTGATGTGAGGCTCAAACTAATGACCTTGAGATCAAGAGTCACATGCTCTACAGACTGAGCCAGCCAGGTGCCCCATCACTGTGCTTTATTCTTATCTTTAATACATTAGCCAATTAATTCTGCCCAAAACCTAAAATAATATCATTATGATGAGATAAATAGTTCCTTTAAGACTTCAGCTAAGCAGCTGATCACCTCAAGGTAACTGGTATAGCTGACAATTATAGAAATATAGAATAACATTTATTAAACTGCCCAAACTTTAGAGGCATTTTTAAGAAAATAAAAGTAACCTTTCATACATAAGTTAGTTATTATACAGAAGCTTCTGTGCTCTATTTTGAAATGAAGTTATTTCAACATTTCCATGTCCTCCTCCCTCCCTTATTCCCATGTTTTCTTTGTTTTTTAATCCCTATAGCTAAGTTTATATGACTGAAAGAAAATGTGGGAAAGAACAAATTTTAATTAGAGCAATTAATATAAAGTTGTTGTGACATGCTTGCAATCATACATTATCCCACTGCTGTTTAACATAACAAATTAGACCATCATTAAGATTTTTAGCATGAGTCAGTTAAAATATTGGAAGTTCATCTTTTAAGACAAATTACAGGTTAAAAACCTACTGTCCACTACCAAATATAGTCACACTTTCAATAAAAATAAGACCTTTATTCGTAATTTTAAATCTTGGATTTCAGAAACTGGAGTGCATTTCTGTAATCACTTCTCCTACACCAAATTTTAATTTCATAAGTAAGATGACACAAAAACTCCAGCAAATAATTACTCACCTCATAATTCTCCTTTATCCAGAGCTCTCGTTTAAGGAAAGTTTCTTTCTGATGATCTTCTAGACTATCAAACTGAGATTTCGACATCTTCATGGATTTCCGTATGATATATAGTCTTTCTTCTTCTCCATATTCTTTGCCTTTGATGTTAAAATTATAGATCCACCGACAATACCAGACTATATATGAGCACAGGTGAAAAGGTGCTAAGAGAATTTGAAACAGGAGAAGATCACATATCTGGGGTTTCTGATAGCCTCCCTTTATATCTATTTTACTTTTTATAATGTTTTTTATGATATTCTCCTCCTCGTCACGAATTTCCTCTTTGGACTTTTTGTTTCTGCCCTTCTCTTTGGCTTTTCTGAGTAACCCCTGCTGCTTGGCAATCTCCATAGCTTGGATACGATATTTGGGCACTGTGGCTAGGTAGCTGATTGCCTTGTCGTAGCTGTTCCACCAGCTGAAAAACTGAAATATTTAACAAAGAAAAATAGGTCATTTTTACTATCAAAGTGCACCTTGGTGAACACCACCCCCCCTACCCAAAGCAATTCTGATTAAAAACAGGGACCTCAAGGGGTGCCTGGTTGGCTCTGCCAGTACAACATACAACTCTTGATCTTGGGGTCATGAATTTAAGCCCCACATTCAGCATAGAGCTTACTTAATTTAAAAAAAATAGGGACCTCAATCTTCTTTCTCTGTTAAGTAAAAGATAAACCTGAATAATGCCCACATGTACATGGGACCTGAAGCTAGATAAATCAGGTAAGCCCTAAGCTAGGCCAAAAGCCATTAATTCAGAAAGGAGATACCCAAGATTAGGTGATAAATCAATAGAATCACATCACATCTGTGATTTCAAATCTACCATTTGGCTTTCCCTAGATCACCATTAAGAAATCTTTCTTTTGTTTTTAAGACTGTGAGACTGTGATCTACGTTCTGGAGGAAGAGTTACATGGCAAAACTAGCCAGTGAGGAACTTGTTTAAAAGAAGAAAAATCACAGGCTATAGACTAAGGCAACTATATTTATTGCCATCTGTTCCCTAAACCATCTCAATATATACAGTTAATGCTCATCATATTCCGAAGAAAAGGATTCTAACATGTTTGAACTCTTATTTGTCTGGAAAACACATAACTTATTTGATAAATATACATAAAGGGTTTCATTAATTGTCAGGAAACGTCCTATTCTTCACATTTCCACATTTCATTTGCTGTTTTAGTGAAAGAATATTGCAGTTACACCAATAATATTTTGAAATATTATAGTAGCACTCTATTAGGACTAGGGGGAAAAAAATGTTACCAGGATATTATATCTAAAACAGAAAGGTAAAATTATCCCTGCTTCTCCTTTGAAAGGAAAATATTCCTGCAAAAGCAGATATATTTAAAATGCACAACCTTAGTATTCAATAGTAATTCTTTTTGTCATATAAAGTGAATCCTATTTCTGGGAATTAAACTAGAGAAGCATTTTTCAGACTAGCAAATTGATTCATTCTAGTCACCTGACATGTTCTTTTCCTCTAAAATAAGACATGATAGCTGTGGTTAATTTAACAGTAGGAAAAACTCATTTCAAGCTGAAGTTAAATTTTTGCGACATTTAAAACAAACATCAAAGATTACTATTTTAATCTATTTCAGTAGTTTCAACCAAAGCAAAATTGCCCTTAGCAGGCAGTGGAAATACATGGTACATTTTTAGTTGTTACAGTGATGGCAAGCACTTCCTGACATTTGGTGGATAGGGGCCAAGACTTGTCAGGTCATATTAAGAAATTCAGGTTTTTCACAAATATAATGGGCAATCATTGAAAAGTCCTACAAAAGTAATATTATCAGGTTAGGAGGGAAATGCTCTAAAGGAAACAATGAGAAAAAGATTTATGTTGGGCTTTCTTAATATATAATGATGTTATTCATCAATTTCTTGGATTTGCCACTGACAAAGATTCCAATGTTAATAAGTTGGTTGAATAAATGATTATTTTTCTAGTCTAAAAAAAGTAGCCTCAAGTACAGGTAAAATTTTATAAAAAGGTACTTCTAATTCACTTTTAATAACCAGCACTAGGCAACGTGCACTCAAGTACACACATGCAGACACACACCTCCATCAATACACACCTGAAACACTGAAATAGCACATACACTGACCAAAATCACAACTCTAACATCCACTTTAGGGGCTAAGCGCCTACTGTAGTAGTGGTAGTAATGGCTATAATACTCTTCTGGGTGATCCAGCATGTAGTCATAATCTTTTCGTGTTTCTTCATCCTGTAAAATAACAAGATACCCAATTTCATAGGGTATTTCAGAAAATGGCCATAATTTATAATCTGTTAAACAAAATTTTATAACCATGTACGATTAATCTGAATAAAAGTGAAACTATTAGAATCAAAAAATTCCCTACCACTCTTCAAAAGCACACATAAACTGGTTTCTAGAACTTTCATATTAGGTATAACCATAATAAAAGTAATCTCTCCAAATTCTTAAGTATTGTTAGTCCTCCTGGAAAAAGAAAAACATTTTAATAACTATTAAGCATGCCATTTTAGCCAGTGTTATGGTGGTAATAAGGATGTTGTGTTCTTGTAACTTCAGAACATGTTGATACCTTCTCTCAATAATTGTTGATAGGGGGGCACCTGGGTGGCTCAGTGGGTTAAGGCCTCTGCCTTCGGCTTGGATCATGATCCCAGGGTCCTGGGATTGAGCCCCAAGTCGGGCTCTCTGCTCGGCAGGGAGCCTGCTTCTTCCTCTCTCTGCCTGCCTCTCTGTCTACTTGTGATCTCTATCTGTCAAGTAAATAAATAAATAAAATCTTAAAAAATTGTTGATAGGAACAAATGTTTGTCTCTACTACGGATATTCACAATCCTTTTCTAGCCTTGTGTAAAAAGTTTTCTGTTAAAAGCAATGATTAAGACAATAAAATGCAGACGAAGCCAGTCTGTGCCTATAAAACTGAATTATGCTCATCTCAAAGAAGCCCTGATGCAGTATAATAGTAAGTGTTTAACTCTGTGACTTCAAGTGATATTTTTAGCCTCTCTGAGCCTCACTCTTCCTCATTTGTAAAACAGATAGTATCTGCTCTACTAGTTTTAGTGTTTTGAATATCAAATGGCAACATTATACAAAAACACATTACAAATACATAACACATATTATAATACTATTATAACATTGTCACAGCCCAGCTCATAAATAAGTTAACATATACATACTTCTTAATCATAGAAACACATTGAAAAAAAAATCATAGCATTCTGAAATGCTACTCTGAGTGTTCACAAATAAAACACTTCTTAAAACCTTTAATTTTAAATAGGGATAAATGCCAATCTATTACTGAGCTACATACACTGAAGAACAATTAAATTGGGTTATGATTTGATTTTTTTTTTTTTGTCACACAGGAAACCTATTTTGTCTTTTTTTTTTTTTTTTTTTTTTTGTAAAGTAAACTCTATCCCCATGTGGGGCTTGAACTCACAATCCAGAGATTAAGAGTTGCATGTTATAGCCAGCCAACTGAGCCAGCCATGCACCCCCATTTTTTCTTTGTTCAAAAAATGTTAGAGTAAAACCACAACAAATTCTTTACTCTTATATAAGGGAGTATACTATAAATCATTATGAAAATTTAAAAAACCTTTTTTAACCTAGAGGATGTCTTTCTAGGATGAAGTATTCAACATTCATAAAGTTGCAAATACTTAACTAAAGGCATTTCAAAATCTACACCTAGTGCTTTCCTACCACAGACAGAGGCTCTTAGGTCTATTATGGACCGCCTAATCCTCCAACATGCAGTTTCTTAGATTTAAAATAATGACAATGTTAATGACAAAATCTCTTCTGTACCATTAAAATCATATATTTTCTGCTAAGAATTCTGAATTTGTGGGGCATTTGGGTGGTGCAGTGGTTAAGCACCTGACTCTTGGTTTTGGCTCAGGTCATGATCTAGGCTCCTGAAATCCGAGCCCCACTTCGGGCTTGCACTCAGCATGGAGTCTGCTTGTCCCTCTTCGTCTGTTCCTTTCCTTGTGCACATGCACTTTCTCTCATAAATAAATAAATAAATATTTTTTTATTTTTTATTTTTTTTTTTTTAAGAATTCTGGAAGCACCTGGGGGGCTCAGTCAGTTAAATGTCTGCCCTGGACTCAAGTAAAGCTCCTAGAGTCCTAGGATTGAGCCCTGTGTCAGGCTGCCTGCTCAGCAGGGAGCCTGTTTCTCCCTCTGCCCCTTTGCTCCTCCCCTGCCTTGTACATGCTCTCTCTTTCTCAAATAATTAAAATCTTAAATTTTTAAAAAAAAATTTTAAAGAAATTAAAAAAAAATCTGAATTTGAATGACAATTCTCTTAGGTTCAGTACATTCAAAATATTTTTTACCTCTGACTAGAATTTCAAACTAGATAAACTAGTATCTAGTAGAATTAAATATAAATATATTTAAATTCTATTCCATAGCACTATTTAGAGGGTCAGTATGAGAACTGTTATATAAGGAGGGCTGAGCTCAGGCTGTTCTCATTTTCTCCTTGAATGTTCCTTTCTGTGAAAAAAGATTTTCTGTGGTAACTGCCACACACCTCAATTGTCAATGTATTATTCTTTCTATAAGCAATTATCATACTTTAGAGCTTCTAACCTAAAGAGGGTAAAACTTTATAGGACAGACAGAAACTTTATAGGTCATAGACAGCTCTGAAGACTAAAGCCTACAACTCTTTTTTTTTTTTTAAGATTTTATTTATTTATTTGACAGAGATCACAATTAGGCAGAGAGGCAGGCAGAGAGAGAGGAAGGGAAGCAGGCTTCCTGCTGAGCAGAGAGCCCGATGCGGGGCTCGATCCCAGGACCCCGGGATCATGACCTGAGCTGAAGGCAGAGGCTTTAACCCACTGAGCCACCCAGGCGCCCCTAAAGCCTACAATTCTTGATGTATCTCATTTTGAGTACCTCAAGACATCTTTTAAGAATTTTTCAATTTTTCCCTCCAGTTTTTGCTTTTTGGACTAATTTTATAGAAATGTTCTGCTTTTGGCCTAAAATCTGTGACTTTTAATTCAGCTTCCCAATCTTAGCAGATGACTTTTGAAATGTATTTCTTCAAATACGATTCTTCTCCTTGTTCCAACTAGATTACATGTAATTTTGAAACCAACTGCCATACTGACATCAGATTCCAACAGATCTCCAGCATCCTTATCTATACAGAGCCATTTGCCCAACCTGACTGTATTCCTTCTGGTTAAAGTACACAGCAAGATCTTTGAATGTCATTAAAATCTACTATGTGAATGTCACAGATCCAATAATAATATCCTTCCTTCTTTGTTCCCTTATCTTAGTGAAGGTCACAATCCACAGAATGCAGAAATCCCTATTCGAACAGTTCACCCAGATCTTCCACTAGGGTCACCATCTTCTCCCTGGTCCCTAAATGTGTGACTTACTTTACTGAGTCTCGAGCTCCTCTAAAATAGGATGGTCAACTAATACTTCAGCAAACAGCCACTCCAAAATCTGTACCTTGTGTCTGGCCTCTCTACTACAACCTAATAAGTCCTCAAATTCACTAATTCCCACAGAAGATTTCAGGATCAAGTCTGACTTCTCTTAGGATGATTTTCTTTTCCATGGTTGGGCAGGGGGGTCACCATAAATTTATGATCTTGTTTTTAAAGACAAGAAGAGTTGGCCAACTCCTTGTTACAGCATTAGTTAACCATCATCTTTACTCTTGGGTTTACAGCTTTCTCTCCAGAATGAAGAAAATTATTTTGGGTTGAGACATGCATAATACACTTTGGAAGGTGTTCAAGGTTGGCACAAATTGGGAGAGTTAGTTCTAAATCAAAATCCTACTCTCCAGTAACCTACAAAGTTTAGAATCAACCTAGTAAGAACACAAGGATAGAGGAATATTAGCAAAAAAGACAAGACAAGAGACTGGGACCCCACTGAGAGCTACAGGCACATACTTATTTTAAAACCATTATTCTTATTTTTTCTCCTATCCATCTTAAAACTCAGGTAGTCCCACAATTTTTTTCATCTTGAGTGCTGCCCCATGGCTTATTAAGTAGCTAAAAATTCCCTAGCATCCAATAAGACCTCCATAACTAATCCATCTCACCTAGCAACATCTCATCACTTGCCCCTCTTCTGCCCCACAGCAAACATCAGGTAATTTCTGCAATTTGGTGTGTTCTTACAATACAGCACAGTCTTTCATACCTATGTTTTTAACCATATAATTCTCTCTACCTCAAATATCCATCCCTTTCTTCCAGCCTCATGAGCTTCCATTAATCCTTTAAGACACAAACATTACTGCTTCAGATTTAGACCACTCTTATATTACACATGTCACCTATTTATTATAGCACTTATCACATCGTAATCATCAGTTTGGTTTTTTTTTTTTTTTTTCTTTTCCTTGAATAAGAACTTCTGGAAGATAGGTAGGGTGACCGACACTTTAATCCCTGTATATCCAAGGCCTACCACAGTGCCTGGCATTCAGTAAATGTCATTTAAAAAATGAGTACAATTTTATAAAGGCTCTCCCTCACTATAATCATCCCTTGAGCCATACAGGTCTTTATCTCACCAGGAAGGCTGGATGGGTGATTATTTCACAAAAACCTTGGCTTAGCGGAAATGACTGCTTGATTTCACAGCTTATGAAAACATGCTACTGTGGCTAAAATGGCTTAAACCTTAAAACAGTTTAATGTCTTACCTTTCAATAAGGTAGTACTTTTTCTTTCAGCAATTTTGTGGATCTTAAGGTCCCAGGGTCAGGAGATTCCAACTTCTTTCCAAAACCAAAACCTTTATACTTGTTTCTTCCTCCTCTCTGTCCTGAGCCTTGACAAGCAGGGCAAAAAGCTCCTTGTTTCTAATGTCTACAGGAAAAAATGGTGCTTCTGCTGGTGTCCACTCCACTCCCAATCCTTGTGGGCACATGCAGGAGGACTGGAACATAACCACCAATATCTAGATCAAAAGTGAACAAGAGGAAACCCACAAGCAAAGAAAGCACTGAATCCTTCCTTCTCTTAGGAAAATGATCATTCTCCCCCCTCCCCAGAGGCAAAAATATATTACGTTCTTGCCCTTGAAAGAAATAATGAACTGTTTGATCTCAAGATACATAATTGCAATAATCTGATATTGCAGCCACCTTTACAGTAAAAATTTTCAGTTACACAGATAGTAGAAACCATTTTAGGATGTTAAAGGCC